TACAGAATATTCCGTTCACTTGTGTCGCGAACTCCGGTTTCTTAAGCCAAACATTCTTACAGTCCGTGCAATCGATTTGTGTCAACACTTCGTTCAACGGGTTTTGCTTCATAAACGTACTGAAAACTGCTTCATCCAAATATGTAAATGACTTATCGTTTGCCAAGATAAATGTGATGGGTCGTTTACTACCGGCAAATGCCCCCTTACTTATACCACTCAGTTCAATGGTATCTGCGATTAAAATTATCCGTAATTTTGCATTTAATGTGTCGTCAAAGGCGAAGGCATTGTCAGAGATAGCGGTTATACTAGAGGTCGCTATCTCCATATATCGGAGGGAACTCCCCAGTGATTTGAAGGCATTCCCCGATATTGTAGTATTTTTCTCATCGAATATTCGGAACATGGTCAAATTTTTATGTCCCTTGAACGCGTTTTCAGGGATTACGCTTAAATTGCAATCCCATATTGTTAATGTTTCAAGGTGCTCTAGTGAGTTTACCAAGTTGTAAATGTCGGCATTATCAGTTAGGTTTAATGACATAACCATCAACTCTACCACAGAATCGGAGTTCCCTTTTAGTAGGTCTTTATTAATATGTTTTAACCAACTTGATTGATGAATTTCCACTTGCTTGAATTTGATATCAGCAAATGCCTGAGCCGGTAGTTCTGCACCAGTATTAAGTAGTGATAATTCAAGTTTCTCAAACTGCTTGTCCTTTTCACCGAGTGCCTTGCTTATATTTTGAAACAGTTCCTTAATGTCGATGAAATCAAAGGACTGACATTTTAATGAACTTGTATCGCCAACTTCATAGCAATAGCATGGCTTTAGTAAGCCGGCATCGGGACATTTTGAAAAAGCTTGCTCAATTAATAAAACACATACTATGGCAATTGGGATGATATCTAGAAAATATATAAATTATTTCAATTAATTAGATATTTTTAACATTAATGTTTGTCTGAGTTGGGAACCTCGTTATGTGTCAGTAAATTGTGCAATTAAAATGGGTATTAAAACAAACTCTATGTTCCTAACAACAAATTGAATTGATCAAAGTCGGCGAATATCATGAGCTCGTCCCGTAAATCCAGTTATAAACATATTGACATAGTGATTTTACACATAAAAATAACATTATTTCTATAGATTAATATACATGAATATATTTAGTACTTTTATATATGAATTTATACGCAAATATTTTCCGTAAACCTAGCGACACTTTGTTTGTAATTTGACGGTTCATTGCCGTTAGAGTGTTCATGAAGTGCCGTCCATAGAAATAATATTATTTTTATGTGTAAAATCACTATGTCAATATGTTTATAACTGGATTTAAGGGACGATCTCATGATATTCGCCGACTTTGATCAATTCAATTTGTCGATAGGGACATAGAGTTTGTTTTAATACCCATTAGAATTGCACAATTTACTGACACATAACGAGGTTCCCCACTGAAAGTGAGTTATTGTCAGTTTATATAAAATATTTTGAGTACTTACACAAGTTTTTCATGGTTAATTTAAATAAATTTTATAGAAATGAAATTTAAACTTTTTTCAAGAGTATATAAAATATTTAATGACAAGTATGATTTTATGCTCTAATCATTTTGCTAGATCATGCAATATGCTATATATATGGTACCCAATATATAGGACAATCGCGAAAAACAAAATTCCGAAATACAAAACCCCGAACATCAAAACACTCAAACTTATAATCCAGAAAATTATAATATCTATATAAAAAATTATTATTTTATTTGAATTAATTATAAATTAATTAAAAAATCCGCACTTTGCGCAAGGAACCATGGCTGACTTAATTAATTCATGGCCTTATATCACAGATTATGTATATTGATCTTTACATAATCTTTAATTGCCTTTAAATAATTATTCTAGTAATATTAATGAATTATACATTAACTCAATTAAAAAATAATTATTTATATAGAAATTATCATTTCCTGGATTATATATTTCTGGATTTTGAATTTCGGGATTTCATTATTCGACATTTTAATCGTATTCGAGATTTTGATTTTCGGGATTTTGTGGTACTCCCTACATATAAAATATATATTCTTATATATAATTATCATTTAACCCTGTACTTGAGACTTACAACTATCAAAGTTGATAATTAGGAACTGTTATCAGAATAAAAGACTCCAGAATCCTAGTCACCTGTTGTTTTTAATGGGAAATGTTAAATAGGTTTTCTATAGAAAAAAGACATTGTTTTCATAACAAGCAACAGTTATTAATTATATTGTCATACTTGGACTCCGCTCGACACTATTGCATTGAATAACAATCATTAGATATATGGAGCTTAACTCGGACACAGGCAGCTCTACTCTGTAGGAATATCCAGGTCCATTAGTAGATGTACTACTAGTTGAGAGGCAATAACCTAAGGGCCCTGGCCACTTGGCATCCCCAATAATATGTACTTTCCAATTAAGTACCTTTCTATGATATCTTGACTATGTGCCAATAAATTGTGTGAACAATGTGTAATAATGGCACAAAACATTTATTCTGTACAAGGACATTTTGGTGTTTAGAATTTTTACATTCTAATTGTGAAACTAATTTACAGTTTATATCAGTAAGTGATATGGAGCCCATTTGATCCTGACCTTATTAATGTACTAATTTCCTGATAAAAATTTCATTAACAAATACTAATCATGCTTCAATTGATTTTATTTTGGTATATTTGTTAAGCTCTTATATATTTAATTGGTTAACAAATTAAGAAAAAATTATTTAATAGTTAGAAATAAAATAAATATGATGTATCTATTATTTTCTGTAATTTCTATATTATATGCATCGGTAAATGCTTTGCCATTTGCTCATCACTTAGATGAGCCAGCACCATTTAACGGTACTAAATGGGTGGTACTATGTGCCGGTAGTACTACCTGGGACAACTATAGACACCAGGTACAAATATTTATCATTATATTATATTCAATATGTTAGTTAAAATATTTTTATAATAATGCATTGTATAACCAGGCAGATGTTTACCACGCGTACCAAATAGTCAAATCGCATGGCATACCTGAGAAAAATATTATCGTTTTCCACTACGATGACATTGCTCATAATAAGGTTAACCCTACACCGGGTATTGTAGTCAACACACTCGGTGGACCCGATGTCTATCAAGGAGTACCCAAGGATTATACCGGGATTGATGTCAACCCAGAAGTAAGTTTAAATAACTTCTAGTTTAAATATAAATGATCAAGGCTACAAATTAAACTACTAGAACTTTGTGGGCGTACTTATGGGCGATAAGACGCTAAAAGAAAATAACAAAAAAGTGCTGGAAAGTGGGCCCAATGACCATGTTTATATCTATTTCGTTGACCATGGTGACGAGGGTAATATAGGTCATATGTTTTTGGGTACAAAATATTTTGATTTAAAAAATATTTTTTTCAGATGTAATTGGATTCCCGACCGACTATTTGTATGGGGAGGAGCTGAATGTGGCCCTCAAATATATGCACCAAAACAACATGTTTGCCAAATTGGTGTTTAATATGGAAACGTGTCACTCGGGTATGGGACCTAGTTGCTAACCACGAGTGTCAATCTGTGTGCGAATAGTGGACCCTAGTGTTGAATAACACTTTTACAAACTAACGCATGACTCGAAACACTAGTTTTTAATTTATCATTATAAACGTGAGTTGCTTATATTTCAAGTTGAGAAATATATATGAATTAAAAGATCAAACAGAGGCATATGTCTGAAACTTAGTAATGCATTGGTTTTCAAATAACGTATTTAAAGTATATCAAAAATTACTAATTTCTATTGAAAATTGTATATTAAATGTGAAAACCAAAGCATTACTAAGTTTCAGACATATGCCTCTGTTTGATCTTTTAATTCATATATAAACACCATGTCAAGGGATTACAAATTGTCAATATAATTTGGTGAAATTAACAAAATAAAATTAGCTTATTAAATGATATATAAATATG